TTTAATAAATTATTTTTCTTGTAAAATAATTTAATTATATCATAAATCAAGTATAGAAAGCCGTACTATAATGAAAAGAGAAAAAATTTAAAAACTTATGTTTACAAGCAAAATTTATTAGATTATAAAGAAAAATTGAAATTATTTTCCACTCGAAGATAATAAAGCTAATTCTTTTTCTACATCCGAAAATATACTTATTCCTGATTCTAACGTATTAATTAAAATCTCTAATTTATTGGAATCAAGATTTACTTCCTATATAATTAAAATTAAGTTTGAATTTTAAAATGATAATTAATTATTTGCGCGTTATAAACTATACATGTTAAATTTACTTACCTTCTTTCTCAATTTATCTAAATCTTCACCAAAAGCTTTAGTAATTCGATTCATATAAAAATCACGAAATTGTTTTTCGGCTTGCGTTCGTGCTAATAAAGGGGTTGGAACCGGATCTTTTGTCTATAAAATTCTTAAATAATTAATTTCAGATTATAAAATTAAATGAATTCGTTAAAACTTTACCTCCGTGGGTTCTTTGCTCGTTATCGTATCTTGACTTTGATTTGTTTCTTCTTTTTCATTTTGTTGTTTTTTCTTTGAACTTTTTTTTGTATTTTTTATAACTTCTTCCATATCCTTGATTTAGGAGGCATTTCGTACAATCTGTACAAAAATCAAAAAAAAAAAAAAAAATGGAAGATCACGTTATCAAATCAAATCGAACCAGTAAAAGATGGTGAGAATTTTTAAAATAGTAAAGCGAAGAATATGTGAGATTAAACTGGAAAGTTATAAATATTACTTACACTTTATAAAATCATATCGATAATTGGCATATGAATATTTCCCTCCCAAAGGTCCAGAATTTTGAAATACTCAAATCAAAAATAACAAAACTTCGATTGGCGACAAAGATTTTGTGAATTTTGCCGTGTTCGTAAAATTTTTTGATAAAAACCACCTAAACATTTTTTTAACGTCATCAAACCGATTTCAAAACTTTATCTCAAAATCCGGATGACAGAAACCTTAGCTGTGAATGAATAAATTTTAACGCGTCTCTTACACTACAAGTATTTTTCAAGCGTTTATATCTAACGTTCTTAATCGAGTTTTTGGTTATCACAGGCCTAATTATCTCGAATTGTTTCCTTTTTAATTTATCGTTATGTTGTGGGAAACGAATATCTACATTAAAGAATGAAAAATAAAGGAAATGAATAAGTTTGTTGGACTTCATTCAATACTGTAGATTTAAACGCTATTTTCTCAATTTCATTTTCGAGAGATCGCCGAGAAGCTGTCATGATTACGCTTTTTATTTATTACTTTATAAACGGCAGACTTAAACTTTTTAATTCAAAAAATAGGGGGCAATATTATTCTTCATCAATTGACGGCATACGTATTACTTTTAATTTTACATTTGAAGTAAATATTAAGCGCAAAAAAAAAAAAAAAAAAAAAAAAAAAAAAAAAACTCATTTTTTCATGTTAAACGTGGCAAAAGATTTTTTATTATTATTTGAACAAAGAAACAAATTACAACTACAAGAGCTCACAAAATTCAAACCGAAATCGAAAAACTACCTGATTGCAAAATATGATAGTACTTGTTCGCTACTAGTAAACTAGTACCCAGGTTGCACGACGAGG